CGCGAGACCGCTCGCTGTTGAAGATCGGCCGTGTGATTTTCCACGGTGCGAAAGGAAACGAGCGAAATAGCACACTTGTCTTTGCGGGACGATTTCACGCTCCGCTTCCTAAATTTGATGGAATCTCGCTCTGAAAACGAGCGATAGCGATTTCACTCGAAGTGACAGCGAGAATACCGCTGGCCGAAGTCGCGAGAGTGAAGGTCTCGGTCGGACTTAGAGCGGATAACGACTCCGTGTGAGTGAATCTTTCGATCGAATACGGCGAATTTACTTCCGTGACTGGTGGAATAACGTCGGATTCGGTTTCTTTTCAGTCTCGAATCGAGATATTCCTTCGATTATTTAGGGTGGAGATGAACGATGCACTCGCCCCCTTTTCCCCTTCGTTAAGACGGTTTATTCATCGTCCACGCATCAGACCGCGAGGGATTGTCGTCATTCGAGGAGTTTGATTGATTTGCCGCGACCTCGTGGAAATGTTAAGAAGTGATATACCGTGAGAGATGTATGGAAGTGACAAAATCGCGGCACATCCTGGAGCCACCATGAATTTCCATGTTTCATCGACGACCCGTCCTTTATTAGCGGTCGTTAATTAATTGAAACAACTGTATCCATTGGAATTCAAGTCCCCGTATGTATTCAACCATTCGCTGTATGGAATTCATCGCGCACCGATGAAAAATCGCTCGAACGACTCGTCGATCACTTTGCTTTTCACGAGTGAAGTTTCGCCCCAAGAGATTTCGAGAGCTTGATGAACGTGTTATTCGGAATTCTCGAAATTTCTTGGAGGAAGTCTCGCCCAAAGCAAGCGAGAAGTGACATTGTTTTCGCCCGAAGCGATGGAAATACGATGTCACTCAAAGAGGCAAGTATGAATGCCAGACGTTTCACTCAAACTTAAGATGGATTCTGTTACGAGTGAGAATGTTCCAATCGATCGGAGTGAATACGTTCCTATGGAATACGTTGGATTTATTTTCAGCCGAAAATATTCACCGGACAATTCGGAGCGGAGAATTCACTCGGGAAAATTACTCGAATCCGAGTGATTCCGCTGTCGCTCTACCTTCCGATTGAAATTTCACCGCGAGAAATTTCGAGATCGTGTCCTCTCCCCATTTTTCCCTGGTTGAAACAATTTATTCATCTTTCGCGAATCCGACTGAGAGGGGCGATCATCATCGTGCGGAGAATTTACTTTAACGGTTCGCCGCGACGAATCACGAAAGTACTAAGAAGATGTAAAATTTCGTGAGATATAGAAATGATAGAATCGTGAGACGTCCTGGAGCCACATAAACCTCCACATTTTATTGCCGATCTGTCCCTTTATTAGCGATCGTTCGTTAATTAATTGAAACAACTGCACTCGTCAGAATTCAAGTCCCATATAAAACCGTTCGCTTCTCGTTTCCGCCTTTTTTCAATTTGAAACAGTCTCGTGGAGAAACTTTAACAATATATTTCATTTTCGACTTGCGCAATCATAGCCTGCACGTATCACAATCGCTGGGACGCTTTCCTCATCGTTATAAAATTAAACGAGAAAGAGAGAGAAAGAGAGAGAGATTTGTAAAACGTATATCTTATTACTCAATTATGAAGAGATGGATTGAAACTTAAGCAGCGAAGCAAGTATGAGCGTTACGCCCGAGTCGGACACGAATGGCCTCTAAATTCTGCGTTTTACTCAACGTGATTGCGATGGGGTGCTTTATAAAATTAGTATCAATTCGCGCGGCCGACATGCCATCCGCGTTGTATCCCTCTCTTTCGATACTCGGTTACCTTTTTCGGCGACAATCTATATTAAGGTGTCTCCGAGTACCGATGCTGGCTTCGATAAGTCCGACGATATTTCTGATTACGTTTACGCTCGCGATAGTCGCGCTTTTATCGCAAGGAGCCGCTCGCGGACACAAGACCGCAGACAAGATGCTTATTGGCATTTTCGGACCGCGGACTTTTAGGGCGTGATCAACCGAATGGATCATTTCGTCGGATTATTCCGAGGATAATTTCATTTGCCGCGCGTAAGGACATCGTGGCGCGGCGCACGATACGTCCTCATTAAGAAGCAAAAATTGAAAGCCTTGTTAGGCGCGGGGTGGTAAATCGGGATCCCTTATATTTTGTCTCTCTCTCTCTCTCTTTCTTCCTTTCCTTCTTTTACTATGTTTGCCGATCCTTTTCCCTTCCACCCTGCCCTCCTCCCCTTTCCTTCCCTCCTTCCACCCTCCCCCCTCTCGTTCTATCTCTCTCTCGCACACCAAACCTCGTTCTTTTTGTTCTCCCCTTCTCCCCCTTTCGCCGAGTTGTTCACGTTCGAGAGCGCAAGTCCGCGAGGTCCTGGGATCGATTCCCGGCTCAGCAGGAGGCTCCTCCTACCATGACGGCCATCTTGCAACCAGCACTGGTTTCACTATATCACATCACACTTCATTGCATCGTGCTTGCATACTTATGTGCAGCCATGCGCTCGCATCCTTGGACCACTCTGCTTTGGTCCCCAATGAGCATTTCCCTCGCGATGTTCACACGAACTGCTGTGCGCACGTACACATTGTCGCTGAAAAATACTCGGTCCGAGAAAAACCACCATACAAATGACGGTCAATAATAACGCTTGAAGCTATTCAAGGATGGCCTCCGAGATACGTGAGTTAATTCCTCTACCTACGTAGAATATAACATATGAAAGAACTCCGATACTACGGATAAGTTAAGGATTATACACTGATAGAAAAATATATTTATAACACTGCAAACCATAATAAAAAAATTACAGCCAGGAGAACTGTTTCTTTTTTTTTTCCAATGTGTTGCTATAATGTCAGCGATGATAACCTTACATGCGTATCACCACCGCTGTATTTCTGCAGTCGAAAGCAAAAAAGAGGTACAGCTGAGACGGAAAATAATCAGAATTTCTCTCAACGTAACAAACGTAGAATATATTGTACAATAGTGGCATACTCGAGTGTGATTAAATTTGTGGAGGATCGAGACCGATTCTCAAGGAGAAATGGAATTAAAAGGGGTCCGTCTTCTCTGTTTGTTGCAGGTGTTGAAGTATTGCGACCACTTGCACGGAAAATGGTATTTTTCGGAGGTGCGCGCGATCTTCTCGCGACGTTACCTGCTGCAGAATGTGGCGATCGAGATCTTCCTCGCCAGCAGAAGTAAGTAAGCCGGCGATCCTCCTCGTTTTGCTCGTGCTCAATCAGCGGCTCTCGCTTTCGGACGAGAGTTCGCATTCCGTTTCTTGCGCAACCCCCGAGAGGAAGCCCCATTCCTACGTTATTTCGCGCGATCCGATCGAACGGCGGCGGAATCCGGAGCACGCCGCAAGGTGTGCGCCCTCACGTTACTTTTTACACGATAAATATCTCCGCCCGCATTACGGTATGCCTTTTTATTAAGATCAATTTATTATTCAATCGCGCGGCTGCACCTGCCGCTTTATCTCGCGCCGCAGCATTGTGTCGCGACCGCGGTTTCACCGCTCAACAAAGCTCCCACGACTTTGCGCTCTCACTAACATCAGCATTTTCAATCGAGAATTAATTTCAAATTAGCTGAGTTTGTTTATCAAAACAAGAAAAAATACGCCGAATTTGTGACAGTTCGGCGACGAACAGTCGGCGTAAAAGTTTCGCGCGTTTCGCTGAGCGAAAAGCGGCCGGAGTCGATCGGTAACGATGACCGTTTCCGTTAACCGCGAAGCCTTTGTTCGCGAACGAAGCAGATTGCCGGTGTCCCGTAACAAACAACACACGGGAGAGAGTTACTTATACCTGGGCCGACTGCCTCACTGTCCCGCTGCTTATTTCTCCGGGGGCGCAGATAAATTTCCAAGCGTTCCCCGATTCTAATCTGATCCTGACTTTCGATGCGTCGTTCCGTGAGGAGACGTCCGCCGGTGGAATGTCATCCCTGCGAGGTGCCTTCGTCGTTCATTAAAAAATCACTGGAAACACGCGTGTTCGTTAACCGGCGACCGCTCTCTCGGGGAACATCGCGCGCGCCTTCTCTCCTCTCTCGCGATAAATCGTGGAACAATAAAACCGTGAATGAGTTACCTTTTAATGCGCGTGTCGTATGCGTAGCTTTCGGCCGCCGGGTCTCGCATGCTTTACGTTACAGCCGTCCGAAATTACGCAGGGGAGGAGATAAGGCTTTCTCGTTTTCATGCGTGACAGTTACTTCTGCGAGACGACGGTAACTACGATTACCGCCCCTCGACACGCCACTCGCGTCAGCTCGCAAAAATCGCGTCGTCGCCGCGAATAACAACGGCTTCACCCGAGTCGAAATTTCGATGCTGCTTTGACATTCTCAACGATAGTTAAGGTGGCTTGCGGACTAACAAAGACCTACTTTGACGACGCTGACACCAATCGACTCCTCTTTTGAACGTTTAATTCTACAACGAGGAAAAAAGCGATTGGGTCGAGAAAAAATCACCTTCGTTCGAAAGAATATCGCGCCCGCTGAATAAATGACGCTTTAGCGCGACGATACGTGATTGATATAATTTGCCGACCGATCGCAATCGTCGAATCAATTGATCGAACTCGTTATAGCAACGGTACAATTTGTCCGGTGGACTAAACGTCATGCTTGCAAACATTTTGTTTGCTAAACAATATTCCGTTGATTCTACCATTTTTTCTCGAACGTGCAGATTTAGTTTTAATGTTTCCTTGAATAACTTATTCTAACATTAAAATAGTGGAAACCACAAATTTAAGACCATCAGAGTCAGAATGGGAATAAGTTGTATTATTAGGACTGATACTATTTTAGTTATCTTGGTATCTATTGTATTGTAGAATTAAAGGTTTATACAAGGTCGAAATTTTGACTTGGATATGAACTAACATCTATTAGAGCGTGCTCTTACTTCGTGTAGCGCTGTGCATTAATAATGAAAATATCGAGATACCATCTAAATACCAGCGTAAATTAAACAGAAAAATACAAGACGGCTGAAAAGCTGTATTTATAATTATTCGTTTTCAATCAATATTTACGTCTACAACATGTATTGTATTATGAAACGCGAGTGCACATCGTTCCAAAGACCGCAATTTGATCATATTATTCGAGATAAAAGAACAACGTTTATTTGGCCACTTGAAATAATAAGATTAGATCAACGTTTTTGTATCGGTTTCGCTCTAACAAGGTAAGAGCGTTCGATGTATATTATATTACATATGCGTACACGGGCCGAGTGATTAAACTTCCTCCTTCATTAATTAAGATTGAATCATACGTCTTGTTTTCGTGTTCAGGCACTTCGGTAAATTATTAGGAAGTATTTATGGCAATGGTCTCTCCCCGCACGCTAGTCTTCGAGTCCTCGGGGGAACTTGGTGTATAAACACACACACACACTCCGAGCGATTGAATCCTTCCTAAGCTCTCTGTCATTACGTAGAAACAAGTTGTCGTGACGGTATTAGCATAATTATGATTGGCTAATGACGCTCTTGCGGTGCTATGTCTAAGCGGTCACCGTCGACCGTTTTCTCTTTTGTCGTAACGTCTTCATCACGCTATAATTCTTGCTCGGCTTTCTCGTAAATACGGCCGTTTGAAATTCAGAAATCGACGAGAAATTTTCGAACGCACGGGAATTCTCTCCCGTTCCCGCAGATCCGCAGATAATTGACGCGCGACCACGCACACCCTCGATCGACGATCCACCCCTGCGATTCGCGCCCTAACGCCTTTTTTGTCCACAGCTTCGATCCTGTTCGCATTCTTGGATCAAGCGACAGTGAAAAAGGTGATCAAGGCACTACCGCGGGTAGGCGTTGGCATCAAGTACGGAATACCCCAGACTAGGTAAGCGACAGCCGGTTCGAAATACGAAGAGGGAGGCGTCCTCCTGCCGTCCTCCACGAGGACCCGAGTGTCTTTCTCGGAGTCCACCGTCCCTCGGAAACATTCCCGTCGCATTCCCCCGCTTCTTTGTCCCTCCCGATAAGGCGATTCTAACCATGGACGGACCGCTTCTTTTTCCACCGATATATAGTGGAGAGCAAAACGATTTAGACGCACCGAAGTAGAGAGCGTAACGAATTATCACGATTTGAGAATCACTATCGACGAGCTTATATAACACAATGATTTTATGATACATATTTCTTGGCCGAAAATTCATTTTTAAAATTGCACCTCAAGTTAACGTAAATACAGTTTTATGATATCCCGTAGTCAAATAATTATAAATTGTTGTCATTTATATTATTTATTATATATTATTATATTTATATTCTTTTATCAGTTATCAGTAAATGTGATGCTAAAAATATTGCTCACCCGCAAGGTAACTTTTAGTCATGTCTGTCAAAATTGTGCTACATATTATATTAATATATATAGTATATATACATATATATGTATTTATATATTTATAATTGTAGTATTATATATATTTAATACGCTAAAAAGGACATGCTTCGAAGTAAGTAATTTCATATTTCGTTGTGTTTTTCTTATATCTGAAGCGAGATAGATAATCGAATTTGTGGTTAAAATAAGCGTAAATAGAAAAGAGTTTCCTTGCTAATAGGAAAGATTTTATGGATTTCTGAAAATTTCTGAAGAAATCTCAAATTATGTAATAACAATAATTGTCAGCATTTATACTATTGAAATCTGTTATATTTGTTTTTTGCCTTTTTGGAAATAATTAACCTGTTTGAGATCCGTATAACGTGTCCTATCGAACTCTGTATGAGAACTCTATATGGAATCAGAAAATAAAAATATCTGACTAAATAATGCAAAATTTTTTGAATGCAAGAATATTGTAAAAGAAAGAATTGGGCGCCGTTTATAGAAGAAATTATTCATGATAAAATCGAGTTATTTTATATCCATCCAAAAACAAGTGAGATAAATATTGAATTATTTGCAAATAGTTACTTTTCTCCTTTGAAAATATTTCCTGTACATAAAAAATCACTTTTAACATTCAGTGTTTCGATCAAAAATTTTTATTTTCAAGCCACTATGCATAGTATTCGATTGTGACAGGAGCAGTATAGTGACAGTGTAAGTTATAAATATTATTAGCTTATCATGCTGTTATGTGACAAATTTTCACGTCATTGCTTCAATACGTTTTCCTCTGGACTTTCCACTTGGAATATCATTGATATCTGACTCGTATACTTCAAGCACAAGATTTTCCAATTCTCCGAGTACCAATACTACAATGGTCGCAGCACATTGTCACGTTACTTTGATCCAATTTATTCTCACACTCTATACCGTCTTTTCGGCTTCCGTCACAATCGATTACCACACAAGCCCATCGATGGTGATTCCCAATCGCGATAGTTAACTGCGCTCCCAAACCTCGGTGCGTCTGAACCGTTTCGCTTTTCACCGTACAACGGCAGAACTTAGAATTAAAATTCTTCACGAAATCGTGTCTTCGTGTATCTCGCGTCTCAAATCGCGTGTCCATTTGTTCGATGAAACCGTGTTCGAGAGAATGCGGCGACATGAGCGAGCGAGCGCGCAAGAGCGACACAATGGGGACGCGATAGTCATCCCTGCGCGAAGTTCCGTGTCTTCTTCCTCACGTGGCAATGGTGTATCGTAGATATCGAGGAGAGAAAAATCTTCGCAGGATACCGAGAGAGACTCCTATGAGGTCGGCGGGGGTTGTCGGTTAGAACAGAGGTTCGCGTATCCGCGCTTCGAGCCATCCATTAGGACGCTTCTATATACGAGATAGCCAGCGAGCGAGGATACGTCGGCCATAAATATACGACCGCGAACTCCAATGTCTGATCGTAGGAGAAGATTCCCGGCTAACGAAAAATAATCTGCCGTTATATAAAACGCGAAACTCGCGTCGTGACGCAGACGCGAGGATCGAGTTGCACGGACGTGAAATTTATTTACGGACGAGGGCGGCTTCGATTAATATTTAATTAGAACGCCCGCGTGTGACTTAATGTCTTGAACGAATGTTTGCGATAATCGCGATTTTCGATAATAATTTTAGTTTCCTCGTTTTTTCTTCTTTCTTTTCTTTTCTTTTTTGCTAATTCAGCGCGCGAGCTCTTAATTATCGAGTTTAATTTAATACCGAAACTCGAAATGTCGAAAATGTTTGGGTCCCGCTAATTTGTCAGTCTGTGAGTCCGTTATTGAGATTCGACACGTAGAATGTAATGCGATATACGCCCGATGCGACTTCCATGTATCGACGGTATCCGACGAAAAATGTTTATTATTCTATATGACTGGTACGTCTAAATATTTTACGTGCGATTCGAAGTCAATTTATGCAAAAGCTATGCCGAAGAGAATCGTTCGACATCGTCGTCTGAAAAAGTGCGACGATTGACATGCAGCGGTAAAGAATCATGATTAATTCATAAATGAAAGTCGTAACGCAAGCTATTAAGTGTCAAGTAACATCCTCAATTACCATGCAATTTTAATTAATATAGAATTCTGGGTCGCGATTATTTATGTAAGAAAATCGGGATTTCGCCGTTGCATAAAAAAAGAAAATATCAAGGACATTAATTTCCTACAGGACACGGTGCGCGCATCTTTATTTATTAACAACGCCATAAACAAGCAATTAGGCGTTTCTTTTTTTATCTCTCTTCAGCATATCAGTTATACACGAATTTACATCTACCAACCTTGCCGTTAACATTAATCTACTCTCCGCAGGTAGCGCGACTAGGATGGAATCTCGAGATTTCCTCGCGCTCGCGACGACTCGTGGCGGCGGACTCGTGGCGCCGCATGACCGCGCGTTTATCCCGACAATAATGTGCGACTCGTTCGAAGAGAGAGTTTCAATGAAAAGTCGAAAATCGAGCCTTCCCATCGTTGAGATCGACGGTCGCGCATCGGCGATCCTCTCGCAGTCGGCGTCTCGCTGGAAGTCTCGCCGATCGCGGATCTTCACGCACGCTTGAAATTTACGCGCGAGTCGCATCTAAGGGCGGAATTTATGCGTCCGGTGCACCGTCGTCGTGCGCTTTCTTTTAGCGTCGCAGGACGAACCGCCCGTTAAAGTCTCCCGTATAAATTCTGAATCAGCGATCTTCGCTGATTCATAAAGCGACGCGAGACGGGCTTTATGGCGCGAACGCAAAGCACCGCTGCGTATCTTGACTTGTAATTGCTCTTATGAATTGAGAGCGGCCGGCAACTGTGTATCAGAGCCGATGCGCAGCCTCGTTTGATTCGGCAGTTAAAGTGCGTGACGCGATGCACGCACGCCGCGGAATGACGCGACGCGGACGAATCAGCACGCGATTGCGCGCGTTTACGGCCTTTCGGACCTGCTTCGAATATCGATACTTCATTGCGTCGGCGGATATTGGCAAATACATACGGATCTTCCTGTTTCCCATATCTCATCCACGTGATTTTCTCGCAGCGTCGATTTAACGAGCGGATATTTCAGTATCTTAAATACAAGCGACCAGAAGATAAGTCATAATTGAATATTGCACGGGTAATTGGCAAGTTGTTGCTTGGAAAGAAGACTGGACGTTAGTTTGTCGGTTATGCTGCAAAGGTATTAGATGTTTTAGCTCTCGGCACGCCGTTATGTCTATTGCAATCTGAATTGATCTCTTTTTCTGAACTGATCTGCGTTTTCGGTGCGGTTCTATTCGTGAGGACCGATATTTCGTGGCTTTTATTCTTCCTTTTGAAAGTTTCTGGAAAAAAAAAAAGAAGAAAGAAAGAGGAAAGTCGCTAATTTTGTAAAATAAAATCAATTAATACTCGAACGTTTAATTTGTATATGTATTTCATATTTTTTTATATCCCATATCGGCGGTGTATCGAGAGTTAAAAAAGTATCAATTGTACTACACAAAATGTTATAACCGGTGAATTGTACTTCATCCTCGCAGACGAGCATCGCTGATGTCACCGCGACAATTGATGAGAAGTTCCAACATGACGCAAAAGTGGCAGCGTCGAGAAATCTCCAACTTCGAGTATCTAATGTTTCTAAACACAATCGCTGGTAAGTATTGCATTCGTTGCTTTATTCTACCCGCGGGAAACTGCTGATGCGCGAATGGGAATCGCGAGTATCAAAGTCGACCGGCCGAATATATCGGAGGATCGTGAGAGAATAGCGAAGATGTCTCGGATTCTCTTCTCCTCTTCTCCTTTTTCTCTTTTCCCTCCTTTTCTCTTTTTTTTTTACGGCTACGCACGCACGGATGGAGTCTGTCGCGTCGCATCAGAGACGTTCTCAATCAGCCCTGTGTTCCGTTAGCTACCCCATGCGAGTAATCCCAACATCGTGGGCCCCGGTAATCCTCTCCCGAGGGACCCACCACCCACCCCTTGATCCTTGCTTGTCGCTTAGGGCGGAATGGAAGCGCGTCTTTGTTTTCTCTTCGGTTTAATATTCGCTCCCTCGCGCTCGTCGAAGCAAATCATGAAACTCGAGACGCCGGCCCCGCGTGCTTTTTAATGGGACAGCTCGGGCCATCCCCCGATGATCCGCAGACGGATCCAGCCAGGCGCGTCACATCCCGACAACTTGGCTAGCCTCCTTCTCGGCCATCTCCGATCTCGGCAACGCTCGCTATTCAACAATACTCGCGGCCGCGAAGCCCGCCCGGCTCGTCATGCTTTTATTATCGCGTGCGATCGAGCAATTTATCTTGGATTTCACGGAAGTGAAGCGAGAAGGAGAGGTCGTTAGGAGGATACATTCATTTGTCTTTGATATTGCGCGGACGCAGCCTGGGAGGAACGGAACGTATCATCAAACGGATTCGCTTCCACGCGCCGCGTGGTTCATCGACTGCCAGGGAAGGGAGCGATCGATCTCCCTCTCAGTGTCCTCCTCCTCCTCGCCGGGCGGAGTTCCCTCCGATAATAATCGTTGGCACGCACCCGTCGTTCCCGGACGGCGATCGCCGAAAGTATTAACCGGCGCGATCGGCCGGCGAATTCTTGTAAACGAGTCGGTTAGGCGCTCGTTGCAAATTACGCCGCGGGATTTATGCGCGCCCACGCGCGCCGGCGGTCAGCCGAGAGCGGCTTAATGACGGCGATGAGCACGGACGCGCAATCATTCGCGTTTCGGCGCAGCGCGCGATCGCCCGGGGGTGGCCGCCGTATTTACGAGGGTTATATATTAATTGCTCAAATAAATAGCCGTGGGTACCGCTCCGGTACAGTCGAGCGAGCCGGCGGGAAAAGAGAGAGAGAGAGGTTCCAACGAACGAAAACGAACCGGTCCGGGTCGGTCGGGTCGGCCGCGCTCCCGCATCACGATCGGTCGTTTATCTGCCGCGTCGGTTTGTTAAAAATTAATGACAGCGAATTCAATGTGTAAATATGATAGCCGGCGATAGCGGCGAGCGAATCGCGCGCGCGCGTGAATCGCGGGGAGCGATCTTGCGGAGCGATCGGCGACCGGGAGGAGCCCGTCCTCGCGTGCCTTCCTCCGGACTCTCGAACGGGTGCGTCGTCGTACTAAGAATGATTAATGGGGGGGCTTTTTGTGCGACGAGTTTCAGCTGGTTCGAATTCGGACGGTTTGAGAAATCTCGCGGAAGTGGTTGGGCAAGGATGGTCGGGCGTCTATCGCGTCCGTTGCAACGATCCGAAAGCCGCACGACCAAGTCGGGATACTTGTTGCCAGTTTTGTCTTTCATCGCAATATAATTACGTGATTATTCGGGATTAGATGTGAAGTGGCTCGCGGGTAATACGAATGCAGTGAATCCGTATGGACGATACGCAGTCAGCGTCTTGCGTAGAAGAGAAAGCGGTGTCACGGCCCTCTATTTATTTATATTCTGTACGGTAACTTGGTGAATAATCGATATTTTAAATTGAAAACTTATAAATGTTACATTCGTCGAAGTGTTCAAGTGTTGTTCGACCGATTCCAGACTCGAAGTTGCGGAATATTATAAAATACTTTGAACGTTATTTATGAAAAATGCGACGGATACTATGGATTGAAGAGGAACAGGTTAATGTGGCTCCCCGCTAGAATAAATTTAAACAATTGGTTTTGTTTGAAAGAAATTCAGCGTATTGTTATGCGAATTTACATATTTATTTGAAATAAATTTTTCTTAGGAGATACAACAATGAATATTTCTTAGAAGGGACAACCATGAATTTTTAATGTACTGATACTGACTTACTTGTCGAAAGGACAGTTTCTATAAAATGAATAAAATAAACTTAACTTGAATAACTTTTGATTTATCGAATAATTACTTTAGCATGAAGAACTCGAAAAAGAGGCTGTATCAAATCTATTTTAGTAGGATGTTAAATTAGCAAAGTACCATGCTATTGTTCAACTTTGTATAACTCGGGATATGTGCAGCGGAATAAAATGTTAAATAACAAACAAAGCAAACACTCAGTGTACATAAAGTCGTGTGATAATACATCCAATTTTAAGAAGAATGAGGAGAAGTATATATAATTAAACGTTAAAATATATCTCGAAAGCGTCTCGAAATACTCGAAAATAAAAATACGTTATATCAAGTGCCGGCTATTGTATATTGGCATATTAGCACTACTGCGTAATGGCCGGCTGTTAAACAAATGATTCCATAAGTAATCTCTAGAATTCGTCATCTAATAGCGAAGATATTAAGGGGGGCCATTATACCTACAAGGGCTATAATACTACCATCTTCTCTGTCATTCCCTATAGACTGAGAATCTTCAGATTACCGAGAGTTCTCTCAGACAAAACAGAAAACCACGGTGATTTCAAAATAATATCAAACTGACGAGGAAATTATCGAATTATGACGAAAAATTTATTATATCCATTTTTCATCATTTTGACGTCATCATGATTTTGTTATACAGTCTTACACGTAACGCATATGATTAAAAATCGCATTACTAACTCTAGTTAAAATGTTAGAATTATTATAGCTTTAATTATAATGATTCTGACCTTATGCTGTGGACATTTCATGTATCTAATTCAGTTATTTCTCCAGGATGCATGTAGCTCGTTTTATGCAGGATGAAGTAACAATGATTACCACCTTTGAATATCTTTTCATGATTTTACAAATCATTTTACAACTCGAGGAAAATAATATTTTACATTTATAAATGTTTTTCATAAATCTAACCAAATATTTATCTTAATTAACAAAATATATTTCTTTTATTTTAAGAATTATTTTTCTCGATGCATATTTCGAAGATATTTAAGGCGTTAATAGCCATTGCCTCACCTTGTATATGCCGAACTACATACCTTTCGTCTCAGGTAGTTATCAACAGGTCGTCGCCTTCGTTTTCGATCGTATCTAGTCTGGTCCTGCTTTGCGGTGAATTATTGCCGAGGACGCAACGACAGCGCGATAAAGCGACCGACCGAACGAACGAGCTACCGGTCGACCGGATTATGCGTAGAAAATAACGTCTGTAATTTCGATGCTCGGATGCAGTTTTAAATCGAACGAAACTTATTTTACATCTGTTTATAATTGTTTCTCGTTAAACAATCGTGCACGTTACGTTATATGAATTTCAAGAAAAATAAATTTAAGGTAGTTGATTCGTAAATTTATTTTCTTAGGGATCTTTCCACATTTTAATAGCATTTTAATCGAAACTTACATAACGTAAAATTGGAAAATGATTGACCGTATCGAAGCTGAAATAGAAATAGATAATTGAAGTCAAAGTTAGTATTATTTATATGCATCACAGAAGAAAACTTTGATGGCGATATTTTAGTTTTTAATTCCGGCGATCAAATTACTTTTACGATTTTAATAAAAAACAAGAAGATAGTAAAAGAAAGTTATAGAAATATCATGAAAAATTACATACAAGATCGTTGACTGTTTAGTTTTAGAAATGAATACGTAAAATACACAATTTCTGAAAACAGCTGAAATATATAAAACAGCTAACATTGATTAAATATCTTTTCAAAAATAAAGTGGTTAAATAACTTCAAACATTTGTAATCAATATGTAAAAACTATGGCTAGTGTTTTCTTCCGAAGGCTTCGACATTCGAATTTTGAATCTTAGAGGTTCGAAGCATCGGTGTTCGTTATTCGAAGTTTCGGACATATCAAAACTTCAAGACATCAGTCATTAAAATATTACACGAAAAACGATTATTTCTTAAAAGGTTTTCAAACATTATGTAAGTTTAATTGATATTCTTTTGCTACATCGCCAAAGCTGTATATCGTAAATCGTGTTTATAAACATTTAACATCGAATCTTGGAGTTTCTTCGTGTTCTAACAACCATTATCTCTCTAACGGTATCCGGTGAACGCCAACTAACAGCAACACAACATCAACATTACAATTTCCCACTCGACAATGCGAATGCAACATAACGCGCATGTTATGTAAGTTACATCGAGTTGAATGAGAAATTACAACATTGATGTTATATTAGTTGATGTTAGTTGATGTTCACAGATATCGTCACGGATCAATGCATTGAAATACAACGCGATGCAATAATGTTGCACGTTGTTCTCCGAATCCCGTCCGAATTTTCGCTGAACTGGGGGGGGGAGGGTTGCGAATGCTCGGCGGAGAAAGTAGGGGGGCAAAATCCGAATCTCCAGCGACGAGAGCCCAAAGGCGAGCGGGCGTCGCGGACATTCCGCTGTCGCGGCGCGTTTCTCGAGCGTTCGCTCACGCCGACGCTGCCATTAATAATCATTTTGATGCATAACACAGTCTCGCTATTATTTACGCTCGGCCGTCGCTCGCGCGGCGTCCACAATTTACGGGCGTATTGTAGCGACGGCGGAACGGACTTATGTGGCGGTCGGCGCGCGGTACGACTTTGCGCCATTGCATCTCTCGCCTTTTTTCGTCGGCGGAATTAAGTATCCGGCTCTGCTTCTTGGAGACGACCCAGCACCGAGAGTTGCTCCTGTCAGTTCGCGACGCCACAGCTCAGTGACAAATGGGCTGTTGCGCGCCGATACTTTGAAATGCAAAAAGTAACAAACACCGTCGTACGGTGTGGTAGTAACGAGCATCTTCGTGTCACTCCGATGAGGGGTGGAAATCGAGCTTTCACGATCTCCCGAATTTCTACTCCGGCAGAGAATGCGATGCGCTCGGGTAAATAAGCAGAGACTCGATCTCCGACTCGTCTTATAATCTTCCGTCGTCGTTTACGCATCGTACGACTTGTATTCTCGCGAGAAGCGAGAACATTTCGCGCGATATTTCGCCGAATGAATGAGACGACGAAAGTAAACGAAGTAACGAGTCGGGGGAGGAGGGACGGCAACACATGTGTATCCGTCACGAGGGCGCCGAGTGACAAACTTGCTGACGTGCTTTAATTAGCGACAGGGAAAGAGATTAGAACTCAGCCTTGGGACGGCGCGTTGCCGTCACTAATGCATTTCGGGATGGGATTCCGCGGGCCCGGGGTCGGGCAAGCAGGAGTGAGACCTCTGGGAGTGACAATTTCAGGAGCGATTAGCCGTCACGCTCTGAGTTATGCGTTTACTAAACGGTGCGCCGCGCCCCATTGAGCCACACGGCGCGTTTTTCATAAAAATAGAATCACGAGGCGCGGGCGCGTTCCCGTGGCTGCTTTCATCGCTCTTAGTTAACAGCGAGAGTGCGAAGGAGTGACCGTGGTTGAAGCGCAGGGTCAGCGGAAAAGGAGAAGCAGGAGAGGAAAGAGACAACAGGAAGAAAAGTAAAGAGAGAAAGTAGGCCGGCGATTATCCGCATTAAAAGCCAAAGCGCAATCTTCTCGTCTATTTTCGGCAGTACTAGCGAGAAATTTAATTTAAGCACTCACCCGTCCCTCCCCTGTTCTTTTTTTTCCTTTTTCTCCTTTCTGAGGTATCGAGCGGTAATTTGGGTCATACGAGCAGAGGCAAACCGTTTATAATTGTGACATTAGCTTTCTTGGAGGGCTTTTTGCACGCGCAGGTCATTTTTGTTGAATAATATACCATGCCGGTAGTCTGATTTACTGGGCTTGTATTGCACGACTGGGAGATTTATTCATATTGAAGCCAAGGTTTATATATATATGAATGATAGCAATAAACGAATAGTTTGATCAAATATACTTTTTATCCTAATGATATACAAATTAACTATACACACACAAAAATATGTGAAAAGTAAAACCTGAAAACCCATACTGGCATATATATTTTTGTCGCTGCAGTTTGAATTGCTTGTTATTTCCTATAATGCTAATATAAGCAATTTTATCTCAGGTAGCAACTATTGCGTAACGTTTATATATTCGCATCTATAACAACAGCAGAAAGAGGGAATATTTCGTTGCATTTCTGGACAGCAATGTACAGTTGTGATCGTGTCGATCGCTTTGCACTGCTTGCCATTATTTGCAAAGGAACTGATACGAATTATAATAATTTACGTGACTTTGCAGTTCTAACTAAAATGATTTTTTTATTATTAAGATGTTAATATTTACATATTAGATGTACATATTAATTCGGTGCCTTTTTTCATGAAATTCAAAGTTTATTTAGAAAAAGTCAAGTACAAGTTTAATGTTCGAGATAGTTTACATTATTTTCTTCGATTTTACTCCATCTATTGGGTAGCCGATGAGTGCTCTCGCGGAAAAAACTTGGCAGTTTTGACTCAGTAACTCATCAATGTTTTTTCGGACCTGTCAACTGTTTGAAAATGCGTATACGCCAGATGATGTTGAAGCGACCAAAATAGGTGGTAATCCGACGGGGCTAGATCTGGCGAATAAGCCGCATGAGGGGGAATTTCCCAGCCCAATATATGGATGAGATCCTTCGTCCCTTTTGCAGTATGTGACCGCGCGTTATCGTGTAACAGAATCACCTAGTTCCTAGTTTCCTAGTTGCCGGTAAAAGGTCTTTTTATAAGTTTTATGGGTCGCAGCACCTTCAAGCGAAACAAATCATTTCAGTAGACTGAACAGCATTTTTATTCAATTGGAATGCAAAAAGGATGCAGTACCTCAGATGCTTCTTTTCGAACAACATTGGGATAACTACTGTTTTCTGAGATTATACCGGCAAGGCCGTCAACTATTATAGTGTTTCTTAAAGCTTAAGGTTGGCACTTTAAAGGCACCATAGGACGGGAAAGAAATCTTAATTTTAATTAGAATTATAGGACATTAAATGCAAAGGCACCGAATTAATTTGTACATCTAATATAATTTAATTTTATCTCCACATTTTCATTAGCTTTAAAACAATGTATACTGTATAGAAAAGATATATTTGTATTCAGTAAAGAAATTTTTTTCTCAAAACCATTGAGAAAAAGTTCTATACTTCTTGGAAAAATTTACTTCAATATATATTCTTATTCTTTGTTTTAAAATTTACTTCAATATATATTCTTATTCTTGTTTCTCTCTAAATTTCCCATATCTATCTTGAAATTTCTTCGACATTATAAATTCATATCCTCGTCAGGACAGACTGCCTTGATATTTTTTCGGTTCGTAAAATATCTTAGAGAAATATTCTCTGCGTGCGGCATTGCATTAATCGGTATTAATCGTCCGTACGAAACGTATCGACGACTCGATTGAAGTAATGAAAATAATTCAGTTTGAAATAATAAATTTGTATCTCTTTGCAGGTCGCACGTACAACGACTTGAATCAATATCCGGTGTTCCCTTGGGTGTTAACGAACTACGAAACGAAGGAGCTAGATCTCAGTTTACCGAGCAATTATCGAGACTTGTCAAAGGTACGACGAGCGTTTTAACACGTATTGGCATATTTACAGTCGCATACCTCGTGTAGCGATAAGAAGCGTATTCTATCGATTTCGCTCCTTTTATACTGCTGCGGGTTACTAATGCAAATTTGTCATTCGAAATGATTAATAAACGTTTTATGTCACAGCCAATCGGCGCATTGAACCCAAACAGAAGAGTTTACTTCGAGGAGCGCTTTCAGAGCTGGGAGCACGACACTATACCACCATTCCATTATGGCACGCACTACTCTACCGCCGCCTTTGTCTTAAACTGGATGATACGCGTGGTAAGTGTCTTATTGATACTTTAACTTTCCACGGAGATGCTTGATAACTCGCATCCGTGGTGTTCTAGTCAACATAAAAGATAAGTAGATAGAAAATTATTTTAATTGCTTTAGAAGAAATATTATAATATTTACACACACACACATAAACATAGTAAGGCATTTTTTTCTTTGGTAATAATAGGGTCTTTAAATAGACATTATACAGTCTTTATAAATAGATGTTATACAATTCTTTAATTTAATCAAAGAAAAATGTAACATCGTTACTATTTTCGTTATAAATAAAAAAAAATAACGCCGTTACCAAGTTGTTATTGAAAAAAGTAAGGTAACAGATCATTTATGGGTCGAGTCCAATTTCGGGTCAAACTTCGTTCATTAATGCATTAAGAAAGTACACATTATAATGAAAACACGGAAAAATATTTGTTATATTCTTTATATTCTATATTTATCTTATATATTCTTTAGTTCATTCATAATTATTATATTCGAAGATTACATTCAGAAACATTGTGGATATTAAAAAAAATATAGAATATCATTTATCTACTTATTACATATTAAACGTAATAAAACTATAAAAGCTTTATTTCTTAAAAAATCTAATATACTATATACTTAAGTACATACTTAACAATGTATTTTTTTCTCTTAACCTAGAATTGAATATCGTATGACGTGTTATAGGGACAAGGCAAGATAATTTACTGACCCATAATTAGTACTTATGCATTAACATTTCTAATTAGTTTCTTATT